GGCACTTAAAATGGTGTGATTAGCTTTTATTTTTTTAATCCCAATTCATTTTTTATATGTGTAATTTTTTTTTTTTTGGTATTAGACGGTGATGCAAATATCTTTATCGGTGTATATACTCCGCAAGAAGATCGAGTATCGTTGGCATATACACATCCATACTTGCAAACTGCATTGGTTTTTGCATCCGTACCACGTTCCCTTTCTCGTTCGTCATTATCAAGATTATTCGAAACATTTCAAATGTTTGTTTGGATTTTGATCATAGTCCTTATTTCAATTTCGATTTTTATTATCTTACTATCAAATAAACAGTTATCAACGCGACAAAGGCACTTTGTGATTGGGGGACGGTTGAATCGCACACCGATTTTAAACCTAATGAATGTTTTGATCGGGAACGTTATACCAAATCGACAAATAACAAATAGACGATATTACAGTGGTTTTGCGCGAATGTTAACAATTCTTTGGATTTTTTTCTGGTTGATTGTTCGGAATGCGTATCAAGGTTTATTGTATGAATCAATGCAAAGATATAGAACGAATTCTCCATATGATACAATCAAAAAGGTGCAAATGTCAACGGTCAAAATCAAAATGACCAACTCAACAAGGAAATTAATGCTAGATGTATATAACAGTGAAAGGTGAATTTGTGATAAATTTTTGTATTTTTTTTACATTTTTCACAATTCTGGGTAGGTATGTCACCATTGCCGACGACAACGTTTTTCGTGCCTTGCATAATCTCTCGTTGGAAGAAGAAGACACATTGGTGTATACAAATGAAGTAACCATAAACTATTACAATCTATTGAACAATTATACGCATCGTCTAACCTACACTCATTGACATGGTTATTTGATCGTAGAATGGAAATGTTCAAAGAAGCAGGCTTAGTTGTCCATTGGGCTGAACAATACAGGCGTAAATTTAAGAAAAATAAGAACAAAACACCGAAAAAACTGGGCATTCCAAAATTTTTGGCCATAATGCAAATATCAGTTTTTATGTATTTAATCGCGTTCATTGTAATTCTTATAGAGATAATATGACGTCAATGTGAACGGACGAGAAATTGGCTAGAATTCTTAACCTATTAATACTATCATTTATTAAAATCATAACACGAATTGGATATCGATGTAAATTCAATTTAAAAATATAGAATTGTTTTACTTTCAAGAAGATTCACGTCAAGCAACTTACCTTTGAAGATTGAACCAATAAGGTAGTTAAAGGTTTTAATAGGTATAATTTCACAAAAGACAAATAGTTACACGAAAAAAGTGGAGGCGGCTAATATCAATTTTTTATCAAGCTAAATTATATAATTTAATCAAAATGAGTTAACCCCTCCTTAAATCTTGTTTTTATTCAAATAAAACAAACATGTTTTGCTGGTCATTTTTTTGGCTTTTTATTTTTTCCACACTGAATGCAATTTTCTATTGATATTGATCACATAATTGAATGTGAGAAAAATAATAAAAAATTTATTCCAATTTAAATAAACAGCAATTTTTGCAATGATAGACATCAATAATGAAAAGACACTTGGTTAACACTTGAAGCACAACAACTTTACATATAGTGTATGAAGCACATCAATCTTGTAAATGAAACAAAAACGTATTCAATGGGGATGCTTCGATATTGTTGATGTTGGTTGTGGCATAGTACTTTGAAAATAAGATATTTATGGGAAATTTGTAACACGGTTGATGAGTTGTTTTCTTGATGATGTAAACATATAGAACGTGCAGCAAGTCGTTATGTGGCCAGTTATTGAGCTTTCGTGGTATAGCTGAAAAACGAAAACAACATTTATTTTGATGTGCAAACCGTAATTAAAATTAATCTTATGCTGTGTATATTATTTGAGAAAAATTAAAATTAAACTTACTTCAACAGTGTTCCGTTACATATGCTCTTCTTTTCTTTTTATATTTTATACATTTTTTAAACAAATGCAAACAAGGACCAAAGACTAATGCCAACATCGCAATAAACCAGGTAATTACAACAAAAATGACAATAATGCAATTTATATCACATCTATTTCCACTATCCGTTTTATTATCTAAATGAGACTTCAACTTGTGGTGATTGAAAAACCGTGACATTCTTATTTTAACCGTTCTTCGATGTAATAATATAAACCGAATAGATTGGACTTCAGATTGCGAATGAATCAGGATAGATTTTTTTTAGGAAAAATACTTGACTTCCGCAACGATTTTTTTTATTCAAGTGGAAAAATTAATACAAAGACATAATAAGCACTTCACGCGTTTTTGAAGATATGGTTAAAATTTCGCGGAACAGAAGATTTATTCAAACAAAACAATAATGAAAATGAAAACGGCTTTTCGTTAAGACGTTTTAACATCAAACACCCTGTTTGGCCGAATTTAGAAATCCAACTTCTTTGAGCTTTTCATTCAAGCATTTTTTGCTAAATAGGTTGACACGTATTTATTTTTCTAAATTTATAGTGAAGACCCAAGAGTGAATGGGAAACATAGTACTAGAAAAACGAGCATATTCAAGTGAACACGGACAAAATGTAAGAAAAAATACTGAAAGAATTTCAAGTGAAAAATCGACTTTCGAGTGTTACCATTACGTTAATTGAATATAAAAAATCTATGTTAATATAAGAGCAATAACCATTTAGCTCGATTGGTATCACTTTTGGCTAGCCATTTCGTCATCCAGAACATGTTTTGCTCTCGAGTGGCATAAATAAAATCCGTCCAAAAACGATTGAAGTCGGTTGTAATCCAGTGGTTTCCATGACTTCATTTTTCGTTGGCCTAATACAATACCTTCCCTACACTAGGTGTGCGGAAAAGTAAAATGAGGAAGTCTTTGAATATGAATTGTAGCACGAGAATCAATAAAATATACCATAGGTAACGTCAATGTCATTTGCATTGACGGTGATATAATAATCGCTTTGTTCACAATTATATTGTATATATTTCGATATTTCTTTATTTAAAAATCACACGCCTATATTTACATTTTTACTTGTTGTACATAAATGAAAATAATTGTCACATACATTTACAAATGTGATGATGTGAGGTATGATGAGGATGTATGTACAGAATCATTAAGTTCAATCCTAGAAGTTCCAATCCGTTTGACCAACTGAAAGTCCGATTTAACATTTTAAACAATAAAAAGTGTTTATCAAACGGATTTTTTGAGGCAATACAAACTAGTTTGTGCGAGAAAAAAATGTTGTGCATAAATTCTCATTAAAATATACTTTTCCGGTAATTACAATAATTGAATTTTTTTTGAAGGAATTTCAATGAAAATTAAGGGTTCCTCCCATGGTGGTTGTACTTGAATGAATCTATTTAGTTGGCTTTTTTATTAAACACATATTGTAGCTTTTTTAATTTTGGACGTAATACGTATTTGCACGAATAGTTGGAAAAGAAGGCATATCTATAGGGACAAAACATGTGCTACCTGAAAATATTTAATACAATTAAGTACATTTTTGGTAAAATTATTTAAACCTAGTCCCCAGTTTCGACTTTCACATATGCGGACATTCGAATATACATCCGAATTAGTTTCTTCTGAATGTCAAACCAAGAACTCAAATATTCTGTTCTATTTTGTTTTCGGTTCACTTTTCGCGTTTTACTTTTCCGCACACATAGTGTAAGGTGAAAAGTATTGTAATCGGTCAAAATTTTGAAAACTTCAGAAACATGTTTTCTACCTATTATTGGGGTCAGAGAACACGAATTTGGCGTTTTTAAACATGGTTTTTGTTAATCTGTACGTCGTACGTTGTACGTCGTACGCAAAATTTGTTAGCAAGATTGCGCTCATCGTAGAAACTTAATTCGAAATCTGACTTTACATGATGATTGGGGGTCGCAAGGAATAGAAATCATTAGCTTTTGAGCGACTTTGGTTGATGGAAAAAAATTTCATGCCTGGAGTGATACATATGAAAAAGAGTCCAATTTTAGTCCAAAAGTCATACTTAATGTAGACTTAAACAATCAGAAATATGTATTGGGGGATTTTTTGGCACGAGAAAACCGAATCCGAGGTTAGTTTTGAGATACAATCAATTTTTGATACAGTTTCCTTGAAAAAATAATAAAAAAATTGAATTTTTGTATGGGAGTCACGCCTGTATGCTACCTTAATGACGTGAAACTTTGCACAGACTATTTTTTACACAAAAAAATAACATTCTGAAAGTTTGAAGAGATTTCAATCAAAATTAGGGGTACCTCTCATACAAAATCAGGATCATGAGAACGCTCCCAGTTCTGGAAGTGGACCCTCAGGATGGGCCAGGGCATTGTCAAACCATAGTCTGGTCCATCCTGAGGATCCACCAAAGCCCACTTCCAGAACAATTATTAGATCAGAATATCTCACATATTTGTTAAAAATTGACATTTTGTACTTATATCTATTCAAATGCGCTAAAAAAGTTAAAATCTCTTCTTTATCTGCAATATTCAAAAGCGCGGTTACCCCCTAGCATTTTTCTAGGTATAACGGAGTACGAACCCTTCGTGAAGTCTGCGTCAACCAATGGATTGACTGGTTCCTCGTAGAGCTGAAGGCTCTTATCCAAATCGACCCATTGAAGTCAAAATACCACCAGAAATTTGAGACTTCGTCAGATTTCCGTGAGTTTGTCCAATTCATGGAATCCCAAGAGAGATACCCTCATAGAAGTTAGTAGTAATGCAAAAGTCATGGCGTTAGTGAAGTTCCTTAAAGCCAGATGTGTAGACTTCGAAGACGTAGTCCAACAGTTCTTGAACTTTTTATTCTAACAAATTCTAAAAAATCTCTTTTTGGGCAGAGCAAAATTCAATTTCTTTTATTAAATTTGTAATTTAGATATTTAAGACGGAGCAAGAAAAACCCAATTTAAAAAAACTAAAAACAAATTCTCTATAATTAACGAACAAATAAAACTACTAGTAAAACTAGAATATTTGTTATAATTGTATGTTCATGTAATTTTGTATTTTATTTTCGTTATAAACCAATTAAAGTTTAGTTTGAAATTAACGAGTTAAAAAATTACCTTATCAACAAAATAAATGTTATACAATTATTACATGCTAAATACATTCATTTTTTCTCAGGAATTTCTTTCGTTCCAATTAAAAATTGTGCCCAAGCCACGCGTTGCTGGTTGTATTTGCTTACCGTAAATTGTATGTCTGCTAAATGAATTTTTTTTGCCTCCCAAAAATCGTTGATTTTCTCGAGTGTAGCAAGAATTCTTGAATTTATAAGTGACGTTGCCCGTTCAGTGGTATTTGCATTTTTAAGGAGATTAAAATAGTTCCGGCAATCGTTGAGTTGCGTCTTTAGTTTAATTCCTGTATCCATTTTTGCTTGTGTCTGTGTATCAAATTTATTCTTCAATTTCTTGTGTTGTTCTATCATGGTTTTCCAATGCTTTTGAATTCTTTCCACGTCTGCACTCTTAGCTGGCCTATCATTCCATTTGTTGAACGAAACATCGAACGTATCATCGTACACTCCCGGCGAATTGAAATTTAGTCTTTCGATGATATTGTCACACAATTGTTTGAATGTTGTTTTCAGTGTAAAGTTAATGGAACTGAATTCCTTCGCAAAAAAGGCTCTCGCATTAATTCCATGTATTTCCATTCTTTCTGGAACCTTTGCCAGCACTTCGATCTTTTTTTCATTCGTTATAAATGCGGGCATACCTTTCGAGCATAGAAATTCAAAAGCAACAACCTTTTCGGATATTTGGAGCATGAAATCTAACGTTGAATTCAATTTGATTTTTTTTACTTTCGCCTTGGCAATAAAGCTCTCTACTACTTGTTCAAATTTTACGTGTTCAGCACTAATTATCTTGATAGATAGAAATTTTGGAAGAAAAAAAAACGTGGGAATAATGACTGAAGGTTTAATGACTGATGATATCATACCTGAACGTATAGCAAAACTAGCGAAAATGGTACGAATAAAAACAGCTTCATTTTGTTTTACCTTGGAAATATAGCTGGAACTGAAACATCTGCTGAGCACAACACCTTTTATATACAAATATTTTTTCTATAAACTTACACGTATATAAAAAAAAAATATGGAAAATTTTGTCTTCACATCAAACAATTGTGCGCATGTATCATGAACATTTCATTCAAAATAAAAATGTTTAGAATGTCAAACTAAATAGCTCGATGTAGATGATTACGCATTCTGCCTTGTATTTAATCCATTTAAAAACTGAAAGTATAACTAAAAGTAATAAGGTAAAACTTCAGTCGCGATTTAAGGGGTAATTCCCAAAATGTTTCAAAAGTGTAGAGGGATAATTTCAAAATCTCTTCTCCACGTCAAAAGCTATGTTTTTCGCATTAGACAGATTGACTATACCTTATTTATAGCTTACTTATCGCATGCCTCTCGCATGATACCTATTTTATGAGTTGAATTCTTCAGCATGGACTTGAGTTATTGGTGACAATGACCGATTAGACATGATTGATTTAATCGGAATTAAACAATAGCAATTCATTTATTTGAAATTGAATATTTTGTGTTAGAAAAACAAGTAAAACTTATCATTTTTGATATCACTCCAATGGTGTTTACGTATATATAAATTCGCTTTCAAAATTTGGAATCATTGAAATTGAAAATAAGCGTTAAACTGATCACGTCCATCGATCACATTTTGTAAAATGAAGTATACCCTTGCGATCGTTTTGTTTTTGATTAAATTTTGTGTCTCAAACGAATTAAAGTGTGGCCTATGTGATGGCAACGTAGAATCGGTTGAATTTTATTGTGAAAACTATGCAGAACCATTGCCGTATAATTGTACAACATCATTTTTACAGTGGATTCATACTTGTGATAAATCCAAGGTAACAGAGCTCAAAATTAGCGGATGTGATCATGAAACAGTGGCACAAATAGCAGGCGACTTCAAGAATGTGCGATCGTTGCATATTCCATATTCTGGTTACGAATCGTTGGATACACTCGAACTGAAACTTGACCGTTTGGTGACATTGAACGCATCGCATAATCAACTTACGAAAATGTCAAAAGAGTTTTTCAACCACACACCAAATGTTGCTGAAGTTGATTTGTCATATAATAAATTCGGAGAAAGCGGATATGTTGACTTACCTGACGTGAAAACACTTCATCTATCTCACAACAAAATCACGTCACGCTATCTGAACTACATTAAAGCGAATAAGTTGGAATACTTGGATTTGGATAATAATTCGATTGACGAACTCACAACATCTTTTTATTTCTTGAAAAATTTGAAAACACTTCGATTGGAAAACAACGAAATACATGGATTGGATACTGTGTGGTTGCTGCGCAACGAAATTGCAATTCATGTTTCGTGGAAATATGTAACTAAATTTCATTTTTTTTATCTACGTGGACAGATTCGTGCTGTTGTAAGCAATCAAAATGAAGGAGTTTTCCACAAACCAGATGGAAGTGTTGAATTACGATGCCGTGAAATGGGTTTTGAAAACTTAAAACTTTTTCGATCCGTTGATGTTAAATTTGAAAATGTAGCAGATGTAATACGTTGTTTCACACCATCACTTGAAAGGCTCAGGATAGCCGGCAATGAACTTATGTCAGAATTCAATTTTATGTGGCTCGAAAATCAGAAACATTTGAAGCTGCTGAGAATTGATCTTAATTCAAATATCAAACTGAAGAACATCTCGTATTTGAAAAACTTCACGAAATTAAATAATTTGGATCTCTCTTATAATCAATTGGAAAATGTAACAGAACTGATACAACACTTAAATCCGTCCATTAAAACATTATACTTGGATCGAAATTATTATGATGAATTAAATGATGCAACATTCCAAAAATTAGTTAATTTAAAAGAGTTACGCATGAGATCTTCAAATCTTTCACTTGTGAATGTGAGTCCATTTAAAGCTCTTACCAAGCTTGAAACACTTGATGTGCGGGATAATACCATAAAAACGTTAAATTTAACATCAATGCCTGGAGAAAACTTAGAAAAACTCTTTTTAAGCAGAAACGATTTGAAGGAATTGGACAACCTCACTCCAACACGTTTTCCAAAATTATCACTTTTAGATATAGGAGCAAACCAATTTCCATGTGAATATTTAAGAGTGTTTGTGCCGAAGGTTAGGCATGAATTCAAAAATATTGATTTGGGCTACGCTCCATGGATTCAAAAATTCGAAGACTGTACTCCTGAAAATTAATATGTTTTTTTTTAAATAACGTCAGAAAATATCAAAATTAATTTAAATTGCGATCATGAAATATGAAACGTCATCAAATGTGCAATATTCAATATAGAGAATGAAAAAAAAATGCAGTAGTTTGAAACGTAAAAAAGCGCTGAGAATGACCTTGAAGATCGGGTAATAACATTTAAGCTTCTGAATTGTTTCATTACTTTTTATTCATTTACTGTATTGATTTATCTTTTTTTTTCAAAGTCCAGCCGCTTCGCATGGTTTTCTCCAATCTGCATTGGCATATATTCCGGTTTGATTTTTTTCTATCGCACGAATTATTGCACCACGATACATGTATCGTTCCATTTTATGACCGAGTGATGAAAGGCCCGCAATTATTTCCTGTAGAAATTTGATAAAAAATTGAAATAAATTTTTTTTATTGAATAAGGACTCTTTTTTTACTCAATCACATACCGCCTTATTGTCAATCTCGTAAAGCACATGCATTGGTAACAATTGATGAAAAAGGCGTGGTGCATCGATAGCTTCTTTTAAATTTTGATGGAACCATAGCATTCGAGCCAGGATCTACATTACACAGTTTTTTTTTCGTGTGAAATTAAAAAAAAAAGAACAATTTTACATATGCGTTCATATAAATGCAAATGAATTTCGGTGTACCATTGTCATTCCTGGTATAATTTTAAATTTCGCCCATTTTCACCAATCTTTTCTAATCTTTGCTAATCAAATCTCTCTCAATGATTTGCAGTCATGTCTAATTTTACCGATCTTCACCAATCTTGAACAATTTTTATCAATATTTATTGATATTTTCATAAACAATCTTTTCCATTCACAAATCTTGTCTACCCCCTAGCAATGGCGTCATTGTTTGGAAATGATTTAAAATGTGAAACATTTCAAACAATGAGACTTTTTTTTATGCCCAGCCACAGCAATGCAATCCCTACTACCGTGCTAGATGGTGTCGACACGAGTGGACGGTTTTTTAAATTTATTTGAAAGACGCCATGTTACTATACTTGTCCATTAAAACGTACATGTAACAGAAGAAACACACAGTCCATGTCCACGCTATTGGACATAACCGATTTGAACCGTCAATGTGAACTAGATCAAGTATAGAACTTTACATAGGATCATATACGATGAATATGGATTACACAGTCTGTTTCAAAATACCGTCACCAATGTCGACACCATTTGACATCAAAATTTTGACAGTAAAAATATATGTTATTGTTGTTGTCGTTTCATTGCTGTGTGCCCAGTATACACAGCGTTCGAGCGAAGAGATTTCCATTCATAATGAAAGAAAAAAATGCTTATTCCTTCAGCGTATGCTAATTTTGAAAGTTTCATTAAATTAATTAAATCAAAACTTGATGGATTTTCTCAGTCATCAAAAGCCTACTTCGTTTTTTCGTTTATGCCATTCTTCATCAGGGCTACAATATGAAAATAAATTAAGATTCAAACATCAAACTATCAAAGTGATCAGAAAATAAACAATTATCAATACCAAAAACAAATTAAAGCGTAGTTCATTGTACAATTTGATTTTTAATCTACAAATCCACTCGGGCAAAACTAGAAAAATGTGTATGGGGACGACATTCATGTAATTTTTCTATAAAAAAAATATTCAGGGCTATTTGGTGAAATTTAGGCCATCGAAAACAAATAAAGAACTAAAACATGTTTGGAGATAAGAGATAAGAAACAATAAATCTTAAACGTTCAAAATATCGCTTCTTATCTTAAGTTCTTGATTTGGTGTTCGATGAAAGTTTTGAAAATATTGCTTATAAATTCGATCGATCATCTTCAACGATTGGAAAGAAAACATTTTCTTTCAAAAATGAACGAGATTTACATCACGTAATCCGTGGTTGATGTACTTTTGTTCAATCAACGGCTTCTCTGAGCAGTTCGCACTATACATTTGCATTTATTTGAATCAATTTTCAAGTGTTTGTTAAATTTTTTAAGCTCTCCGTTTATTTAAATACTGAAAGATGTGAGTTAAAAGACGACAAAATTCAAAAATGACTTGAATCAATTTGATATTGTTTGTTCGGATCATCAAGGCCTCTGAAGCCCGGTAGCGCATTTTTTTCAAACCACCCCATTGTCAAATTAATATTTGAGGCTAGATTCCACTAGCATGGAATTTGTGCTAATTTGTGCCACCATTTTTAGAATTTGTGCCATGAACAAGCCACATTTATATAATCATCGAAATTTGTGCTTACCAAATAACATATTCATTGGTGAACAATCAATTATACCCTCCTCTCCATTAGTCTTTCAATTAGTTGAACTGCCTTTAGTGGTTAATTTCAACGTTTATGCAATTATAAGTACACAAAAATGACATTTATGAATGAATTACTTTTTATTGTATATGTATGTGTTGAGTGATTAGTCGCCTATTACAATTAAAAGGATCAAGCATGAATGAAATCACAAAAACGTTTAGTATACTTTGACTCTCACGTCTTAGTTGACGATGAAAAAATTATCACTAGTTTCAAATATGAGATCAATCGTGTATTTCTCACTTTTTTTCTTGAGCGTGGAATGCACTCATTCATTAAACTTCAATATTGGAAAAGTGGAAAAAAATGAAACATTCGTTCCGCTTGAAATAGTCAGCAATTATTTGCAAAAATATTTGAATCGCAAAGATACATTTCTGTCGATTACTTTTTCGGCATTAAGTAATGAGCAAAATGATTTGCATCAAAATATGATTAGCTACCTATTTCAGCATACTGCGATCAATGGTTTTTCCCACAATCTTTTAAACAGTATTTATCAACTGCGAAGAAAAAATAAGAACTTTTTCAATTTAATATTCATCGATGAAAGTCCTTCATTGAGGTAATTCTTACGATATATAGTTACTATGCACATAATAATGGTTATTATATGATACAAAATTGTTTCAGAAAAATCTTCAATGTTTCGTCCGTTCAGACATTTCACTTGCATCAACAATTTTTAATTTGTGTTACACAAGATGCACGAAATGTATCCAAAACTGTGCATAAAATTTTCGAAATTGTAATGGATATGGGCTTTTTCAAAGTGAATGTTTTGATAAAACGTGAAAATGTCTCAATATGGACTATTTATAAGTACAAACCATTCCTTCGAAGTTGTAATTCAATCGATATTCATAAAATAGAAAGCTTTTCTTTGAATAATTATACAAGCAAGTTAAATCATTCACTGGAACAATTGTATCCATCGAGACACTTCAAATTTCCCAACTGTCCCCTGCATATTTCAACAATTTCCTTTGAACCATTCGTTATAATTCGAAAAAAATCCAACGGGATAGTTACCTTTGATGGTTTTGATGTCATTGTTGTCAATGAAATCGCGAAAACAATGAATTTGATTCCAAAGTATAAGCAAGCACCTGGTAAGAATAATCGTGGAATAATTGCAGAAAATGGTAGTGTAACAGGTGCAATGGAAATGGTAAGTTATATTTTTCCGCAGAAATAAATTATATATTTGGCTCACTGCTCAGATGTGTGTAGCTTAATTTTCAAAATTTGAATTTGAAAATTTCTATTGGAGCACATTTTTGATATTTAAAAATCACACTTTCCAGTAGTTAAGTACTTATATGATACACTTGGTATTTTTACATAGGTAGTAAATGGCACTGCAACAATGACGATTGGTGCGTATGCATTATCTTTAGAAAGAGCATCAATAATGACACCCAGTATTGTTTACATGCAACAAGCATTCATTTTTGCATTCGTTAATAACGTCATTCTTTCAACACCTCTTTGGAGGTTAATGGGACCATTTCAAAGTTATGTCTGGATTTCGATTGCACTGCTTCTTGGCATATCGTTTTCAATTATATTGTTATCGAAAAAATTATCAATGCGACAAAGGCACTTTGTGATTGGAGGACGGATGAATCGCACTCCCATTTTGAACTTAATGAATGTTCTGATCGGAAACGTCATACCAAATAGACAAATGGCAAATAGACGATATTTCGGCGTGTTTGCTCGGACTTTAACCATTTTTTGGATATTTCTATGGCTGATTATTCGGAATTCATACCAAGGTTCTCTATACGGTTTTTTACAAACACAACGGAATAACTCACCATATGATACAGTCAACAAAATACGAGATTCAGATGTCAATATCATAATACCTTCTACATCACTACAATTAATTCCAAAAGTCTTTAACACCGAAAGGTAATGATTGATTTAAAAATTGATTATGTTTTCTTTAATCATCTTTTTGGTTTTCTTCATCATTTTTTTATTAGACTAATTCCAGTTGATCACGGCGATTTCGAAGGATTGGAAAACTTATGGAATGGTCAATCAGAAGGTGTATTTTTTTCAAATGATCTATGTGTTTTTTATTTCAATTTCATCAAGAACTCTTGGCATCGTATTAGTACTTCTAGAGATGTAGTCCGACCACATACATTAGTATTTTATTTTCGTAAAAATTCAATTTTAACATGGAAATTTAATCGAAAAATTGAAAGATGCGATCAAGCTGGTCTGATAACTCATTGGATCTCAAAATACAGACAGAAACCAAAAGAAGCCAAATATAAAGGTCCATCAAAATTGAAAATGGTTCATGTCATTGCAATCTTACAAATATCGGCTATCATGTATTTAATCGCTTTTTTCGTCTTTTTGATGGAAATATTTGCATACGAAGATGGATATATCAAGAAAGTATTAGATTTTTTAACATATTAGCTATCTGTCTTGGAAATTTGCAATCTGTGTGATTTATTCATCATATAACAAATATACCAGTAAAGTGTTATGTTGATTTACACAAATTCTAAATAATTTTAAAACGTTATACGATCCCGAACAAAAATGAGAAAAGAGTTAAAGTTAATCTGAGATAATTAATCTAAAAAAAGAGTTTAGAATTCAATTCTATCTCGTGCTTTCAAGTCACTTTTCGAAACTAAGAACCTTTTTTGGTGTTCAGTTTTAAAATGTCATAAAGGGTTCAAAGCTCAAACGCCGGAGGGAAGTCAATGCGACTATCGTCAGAACCTTTGCATTTAGTGGCTTCTGTTTCGTCTCGGTAATTTGACCTAATTAGAAAAATTCCCTTTTTCAATAAAATGTGTCATTATTATATCTCTTTGTCCATTTTTGGATGTGATATAATTAAATAAATAAAATACGTAATTAGCTATAAAGGGTTTTCTATGTTAAATGTAGTAGCAATCAAATGAATTCTGACGCCCAAGTCAACAATTGAATGAGGAACTAACTTAGATAAAATAAATCAAATAAAAATAGTATATTCTGAATACTATTTCTAATCGACCACAAAAAAATCCTGTGTATTGTATAATCCTTTGAAATGAAATTATTCGCATTTTTTGCTATTTATTTTTTGTGCGCCGAATGCAATTCTCGTTTGGCTGATACAATTCAAATGGAGGACAATCATGACAAGTTTATTCCACTTGAAATAATCAGTAATTTCTTGCAACAGTATCTGAATCACAAAAATACATTTCTAGCGGTCACTTTATTATCATCAAATGATGAGCAGAGAGATTTGCAGCACGACATGATTTCTTACTTTTTCCAATGCAGGACAATCAATAGTTTTTCTCACACCATATCACACTCAATTCTGAACAGTGATTTTCAGTTGAGACGTAAAACAGGAAATTTCTTTAATTTGATATTCATCGATAGAAATACATCGATCAGGTGAGTTCAAACACTTGCATATGTTGATTTCATTCCACAGAATTTGCTTTTGTTTCAGAAAAATCTTGAATGAAACATCTGTACAATCATTCCACTTGCATCAACAATATTTGGTAGTTGTAACACAAGACGTATGCAATGTTTCGGATGTTTTGGAAAACACTTTTGAAATTGCATTAGAAATGGGTTTGCTAAAAGTGAATGTTTTAATAAAAAGTGAAAATTCGCCCATATGGAATCTTTATTTGTATAAACCATTTCTGCGCAGTTGCCATTCAATCGATATATTCAAAATAGACAGCTTTTCACCGAAAAACTTTACAAACAAATTGAAGCATTCATTGATAGATATATTTCCTTCAAGGCGATTCAAATTTCCCAAGTGTCCTTTATACATTTCCGTAATCATACTTGAACCGTTCGTAATTATGCGAAATGTTTCCAATGGAAATATTGCATTTGATGGTACCGATATTATGATTGTCAATGAAATTGCCAAAACAATAAATTTAACACCAATATACATGCATGACATGCCATTTCGTGGAACTGTTTTATCGAATGGAAGTGCTACTGGTGCTATCGATATGGTTATACGTGGCGTTGCCAATATGACAATCGGCGCTTATACCTTAACACCTGAAAGAGTTGCAATGCTGTCCTACAGTAAATCTTACATGCAGAATGTGTTTGTTTTTGCATTTGCCAGTAATGATATACTTTCAACGCCAATTTGGCGTTTAATGGCACCGTTTCAAGGATTTGTGTGGCTCACTATCGCTTTGCTTCTGTGCATCTCGATGTTCATAATATTACTTCTGAAAAAACTGTCAACTCAACAAAGACATTTTGTTATTGGAGGAAGAATAAATCGAACTCCAATCTTGAACTTGATGAACGCGTTAATCGGAAACGTAATACCCAATCAACAAATGACAAATAGACGATATTTCAGCGTGTTTGCTCGGACTCTCACCATTCTCTGGATCGTTCTCTGGCTTATTGTTCGAAATTCTTATCAAGGCGCTTTATATGGTTATCTACAAACGCAACGCAATAATTCGCCCTACGACACAGTCAGCAAAATAAAAGATTCAAATCCAAACATTTTTGCAATCACGCCCGCTGTTCCGTTGATTCCTTATGTTTTCAATAGTAGCAGGCATGTAAAAGTATACTTTTATAGAATATTATAAATGCCAAAGAAATATTTTAATCGTTGACATTTTCACAGATTTATTCCAGTCAATTACAGTGAATTGATTGCTTTTGAAAATTTATTGAATGGCCAATTGGATGGTGTGCTTTTTTCCAATGTCATCACTATTAACTATTTTAATTCAATCCAAAAATCTTGGCGTCAAATTAGTTGTACCCACGATATAGTACGTCCACATACGCCAGTCTTTTATTTTCGCAAGCATTCAATTCTAAATTACCAATTCAACCGAAAAATCGAAAGGTACAACGAAGCCGGATTAAGCAGTTACTGGACCTCGAAATATGGACAACAACCGAAAGAAATTAAACTAAAAATGCCATTGAAATTGGGAATGGCTAACATTTGGGGAATATTGCAAATATCCATTTTCATGTATTCGATCGCTTTTATTGTGTTTTTAATGGAGATATTTGCACACGCCGATGGCTATGTAATTAAAGTATTGAATTTTTTGACATTCTAACTCTTTGATCAAATATCAAGTATGTGGTAAGTATATAAATCTCAAATCCGTTCCCAGAGTATAGATTAACTTCATGTTCATATGTTACACGTGTCTCTTTAATGGTTAGTTTTTGTAAAAACTTAGGTTTTAGTTGGAGGTTTGATTGTAGCTTAAGTCTAATGGGTCGATTGTCAACAATTAATATTTGATTGGAACAATAAGTTGGAGAACATGCCTTATTAGAATTATAATGGGATAATTTGTTGTGCTTACTTATGGCATAGTTGAGCAGACTCAGTAAAATTTCAATAAAATGTGTTGTTCTTACCCAAAATGAGATAATTAAATAATTACACTATTTGAAACGATGATGTGTTTATTAATAATATTTCGATAACGCCCACTTCAATTGGAACTTGACAAATTGAGTTGTATGAAATAAGATATTTCTTAGTTTATAAGGAATATTACGCCTCGCCGAACGAAAAAATTGAACTGAGTTGTACTTTAACAAGATGAAACTATTTTTGTATTTTTTATTTTTTGCTATATATTTCTGGTACCCCAAATGTGCATTTGAGTTTTGCCAAAAAATTGAAAGTGTACAAAATAATGAAACATTCATCCCACTTGAAATCGTCAGCAATTTTTTGGAACAGTACCTCGATCGAAAATATATGTCATTATCAATATCTTTATCGTCAACAAGTGAAAAACAAGCGGTTTTGCAACATGATATGATTTCATATTTATTCAAATACACGGAAATTCAAAGTTTTACTCATAACATTCTAAACACCATCTATCAGTTGCAAGGAAATAATAGAAATTTTTTCAATTTAATATTCATTGATAAAAGTGTGTCACTAAGGTTAGTTTATATATAACTAAGTTACATCATTCATATCCAATTTAAAATGAGTGTGTTTTGTTTCAGAACAATTTTCAACGCATCAACTGTACAAAACTTTCACCAGAGTCAACAATTTTTAATTGTTGTAACACACGACGTACAAAATGTTTTCGAAGATTTGTACAGTATGTTTGAGTTAGCACTTGAACTGGGTGTATTAAAAGTGAATGTCTTATTAAAAAAGGAAAACGTCTCCATATGGACGTTATATTTTTACAAACCATTTCTCCGAAATTGCAATTCGATTGATATTTTTCAAATAAATAGCTTTTCTCTAACAAACTATACAAACAAACTGAACATTTCGTTGAATGAATTGTATTCACCACAACAATTTAAATATCCAAAATGTCCGTTATCAATATCGACAACACCATTTGAACCATTCGTTATTGTTCGAAATAGTTCGGATGGAAGTCTTATATACGATGGAGCTGATATTATAATTGTAAATGAAATGGCGAGTACTATGAATTTGATACCAATTTATCTACAACCATCCGATGGACAACGTCGTGGAATTGTATTTGCAAATGGTACCACAAGTGGAGCAATAAATATGGTGTGACATCTTTCGAAATTGACATATCCACATTTTAATAAATTGCATGACATTTTTTTTAAAGGTAATGACTGGCAAAGCAAACATGACAATTGGTGCTTATACATTAACAGCTGAAAGAGTTAATGTAATGGCGTTCAGTAAATCGTACACGCAAAATGCTTGCGTTTTCACATTCGCAAACAATGAAGTACTTTCAACACCCTTATGGAGATTGAGAGCTCCGTTCAAAGCTTACGTATGGATTTCAATTGGAATAGTTATATGTCTTTCTATCATCACAGTATTGCTATCGAAAAAATTATCAACGCGACAAAGGCACTTTGTGATTGGAGGACGGTTGAATCGCACCCCCATTTTGAACTTAATGAATATTTTGATCGGGAACGTTGTAGCCAATCGACAAATGACAAATAGACGATATTTTGGCGTTTTCGCTCGAACATTGACGATTCTTTGGATTTTTCTATGGCTGATTATTCGGAATTCATACCAAGGTTCTCTATATGGTTTTTTACAAACACAGCGCAATAGTTCTCCATACGACACGGTCAGTAAAATACGTGATTCAAATGTCAACATTTATGTCGTTTCAACGGGGATGGGAATTATTCCAGAAGTTTTTCACAACAAAAGGTAACGGTGATCAATCGAACAATTTCTGTTTTAATTGTGCCAATTATTCACTTATTACATTTTTAATAGCCTCTTCAAAGTTAATTATGATGATTTCGTCGCTTTGGAAAATCAATTGAATGGTCACTTAAATGGTGTTTTCTTTTCGAATGATGTCACTGTCAACTATTTCAATATGATTCGAAATTCTTGGAATCAAATTGGATACACTCGCGATTCAGCACGACCGCATACT